ATGAGCAGAGAACTCACATGCTGTAAACATGGGTCTTCAGGAGCCCGACTTGAGTGAGTATTCCCAAGGGAACCTATAAATGGATACAAAATGGTCATTTGCATTTTTACTATATCTCTTGAGTACTAAGGAAGCCTATTTTCCATTTTTCCCAGATGCATTTGGAAATAAGTTGGGCATATGGGCACACAGAAATATCATGTTCTGAGTAGGTAGTGATGCCGTTGCACACTCTCCACTGTGCCTCTGAAAACCTCCGTACAAAAGACGATCTGATTGTGTAATTCATGAGTGTTATGCCAAGGGCCACGACCAAGGCTCCCACTGTGGACTCACAACCAGCAGGCTGGCATTCATTACCTCACTCTGTCTGCTGCATCTGGCTATTCTTGTCTGAGCTCCCGTGAAGTTTCTGCACCCACCACCACCTCTACGCTTTCCTATCCTGTTTACATCAGACCTCAGGCTGCAAAGAAAGAAGGGGTCTTTAAGAAAGGGCTTAAAATCATAATAAATATTTCCTTTGGCAGCTTGTCCAAGTACTACTATTCAGACATCCTTAATTTCTAAGCAACAAGAAAATATCCTGAAACTTTAAGGGACAGACAAAACTGTACCAAAGGCTTGTTTAAGTTCTTATAAATAATCCTAACTTTTTTTAACCTTGATGACTCACATCTTTTAAAATTCGTCTTGATGATTTATTTTATAATTGTTTATATTTTTACCTAATTAGAATTGTCTTATTGGCTATTTTTTATTGAAACAGAATTTAATGTGATTCCTTTTAAGGATGAATTTCCATGAGTGAGATGGAAAATGGGAGCTTTTCTGTATTTTCCACTATTTTGTCAGATCCAGAGTTTGTGTTTCAGTCCTAGGATTTGGTTAGAAAATTAACAAATGATTACCTAAAGGATGTGACTCAGTTGTGGGTTTATGAATTAGGCCTATGTTACTGCTTTTTTAAAGAATTATATTTTTAAAAAATTCCTACTGTTATGATTTTAGCTGATTTAGAGTTTAAGTTCAAAGTTTTAAAACACCATTGATTTTAAGTACTATGACATCTCTTGATGGAGAGGATAAAACAATAATTTAATAATTTAGAACTTGATCATAATTTTAACACCACTTAATATTTCATATTAATCCAGTCATCATTTATTGAATACGTACTATTGACTAGCCAAAGCATTATAAGGATTAGAAAGGGGAGGGGAGGGGATTACAGCTTCTCCGCCTTTCTCTCCCCTGCCCCAGACACGTATGAGACCACAAACTAGCTGAAAGGACAGATGAAGATCAAAAAACTATAATACAAGAGAAATCTCAGTACACATCAAAAGAAAAGTATAAAATGTTTAGGGAATATGGAGAGAGATTAATTTTAGTTTGAGGCACACATGGGGAGATGGAATTTAAACTAGGTTTTGGATCTGGGGTTGGTAATCTACTTATTCAGTATCCTCAATAGCAATTTTTAGGATCACCACTTAAAGTATAATTTTTACCTTAGAAAATACAGAATTAATATTGTTATATTTTCACCACAAGGGATGGTAAAATCATCTAGAGAATTTTGTTCAATATATATAATATTCCCAATAAACACATACCCACCCCTCTGTCTCCCCAATTCCCAATTGGTTGGTGAGACTTGGGTGGGACCTGGGCATATCTCCCAACCTCAGTCTCACACACACACGCACGCATGCACTCACACACACACACACACACACAGAGGAAGCAAGATAAAGTGTGAATGCCATGCTGAAAGATTTTACATAGACATTCTAATGTGAAATACATTTTTGGACAGATAATATTTTCTTGGAAAGATCTCATTTGACTCTTGGAATTAGAAGATTTATCACTATAGTTAATTTTTATGAGGGTAATCTTATGTGTATTGATGAAATGTTCTTTAGTCCTTTCTCAAACTGAGTGAAGTGAAAAACACAAAATAGGTAGATGACCTGAACGACTTAGTGTTCTCTGTTTCTACTTTTGGAGAGCTAGAATTTAAGGAGCACTGCTATAGAAAGATCGGTTCCCATACACACGTGACTCCCCAAGCCGTGGTTAAATGTCTTACTGAGCTTCATTCCTATCACACACAGATCCAGACAGAAAATCCCCAGGCCTGAAACAGTAGACAGCCCTAATATCCAGACAGCACTGAGCCCTTTGAATCTTTGCAATTTCAGTATAAAAATCTTAGTAACATGTGCTATTGACTGGTCTCCTTTGGCAATTAATTTATGTGGGTTTCTTTCTTTTGAGCACCATAATCATAACTTGAGAATACCATAAATTGCCCACCTTAGCTCCTTTCACTTTGGCAGTGTGCAGTGCAGAACTGAGTTATTCAGTTTCATTCCTGGAGCTGATTGTTGCTCATGTAATCTAATTGTGTCAACAGATTAATATTTCTCAGATAATTTACATACGTTGTAGACTCTTTTCATTGGAAACATTAGTTTGCATGGGAAATAGCCAAAATCCTTATTTTAAAAAACCCTATAAAAGGCGGGGAATATAACAGTTGTAGAGTGTGTGCTTGGCATGTATGAGGTCCTGGGTTCAATCCCCAGTGCCTCCCTTAAGGGGAACCCCCCCCCACCAAAAAAAACCCTATAAATACCAGAGACTAGTCCCCAACAGAATGGAATCAAGGCAACTTGCATTATAAGGTAATTTAACTGTTCAACTACCCAAGTACCCCAAGGAAAATGAAAAGGCTTAATATTCCTGAAATGCCTTCCTGAACTTCTCTTCCTCGGATGTAACTGGAATCAGTCCTGCCATCAGTGCCATGGCACCGAGGTAGCACTCTGACTAAGTAAACAAGATTATTTTTCAACTAGTGCAGCTATTTAAATGTGGTTAAATATTCACTGAGTGCTAATATTTTGTGAAGCTGGGTGAGATGTATTCACTAGGATCCTAATAAAAAGAGGATCTATTGTTCTTGCAAAAGCAGGAAGCTGAGTTTTGAGGTGCTAACCCTGGAGAGCAGGATGAATAACTTTCCTTGACAAAATAACTGGCTGGCTGCTGAGAAGAACAGTAGGATGGGCTTCCACTGTGCCTCTGATCTGTCTTCCCCAAGGAGCCCCAAACCATCTTGGAACACAATATATTGTGTGAGAAGCAGAAGAGAAATTGATGGAATCAGATGAACGATGTAGCCCCAAGTTTGGAAAATTCTCATAATCACTTGAAGATAAGAGTATTTGAATCAAATTGAAGAATCTAGTAATTGGGAAGGCCGGCATTGTTCATGTCATACCATGCAAAGAGATTAATCTTATTTTTAAAAATTGGCTTGTGACAAAAAATACAACAGATTCCTGTGGTCCACACATGCTCACTCTGGGTACAGACTCATACAATGACTTAAGCCCTGATTTAACTTACTTTCTTCTATTTAATTCTCCTTGTTTTCTTTTCCTGCCAGGCAAGCATAGCTGAATGCCCCAAAGCTTATAGGACAATGGTGCAATTTAACTGCATATCTGCCATGTACATTACAACTGCGGGGGAAAAAAGCCTTTACATCAAAAGAGCCAGACTGTAAGTGCTGAATTTCAGGCAGCAGTCAGTTGATACAAGAGGTGATTTTTCAAATTCTTCTTGGCACTTTTACTTCAGGCCCACAGACTGACACCTCCCTTGACTATTTGCAGACTTACTCTTTTTGAGCTGAAAGTTTCTTTGGGGATAAGGCCTGCTTTAGAGAAACATTTGTCTCTCCCTCTCCTTGATATTGAGAAAAATCCCCATTCTTTTCCCCTGTTTTCATCTTCTCTGTGTGAAATAAAATTCATATTTTATGGCAAGACAAGCAAAATTCAAACATAAAAAATCCTTCTCTGCCCTTTGACCTTCTCTCTCCACACTGTGCATTGTGTATCTGCGTTACGCATGGACCAAACCTCCCGCATCAGTAGGAATATCACAAAGAGCAACATTCTCCTAGCATCCACAAGACAAATTCTTAAAAGATAACATTCCTTCTTGATCTTGTAAGGGGTCACATGACCCACCAGGATGATGCTTAGATCTGGACTATGTAAACTGTCAAGAATACATCATTTACATCATTTGATGTACAGCCCTCTGTCTCAAAAAACTTACAAAACCGTGCCTTGATTTCTAACTGGCAGAACAGTTCTCAGAGCTTTCTAAGATGCTCTTTCTGGGTTATAATCCTCAAATTTGGCTTGAATAAAATTTTCCATTTCTTTCTTAGATCGACTGATTAATTTTTCATCGACATCTGTTTGTTAAATGCAGGATTTTCAAAGGCAAAGTTAGAGTCCAGTCAATCATTCATTTATTTGCAAATGTTTTATGAGTTCCTAAAATATTTTATGCCACGTGCTGAATGCTGCTAGCATTCAAATGAACAAAACACTGTCCTTGACTCTGACAGTAGAGAAGACAGTAAAATAATGTGCTATTGACATTAAGACAGAAGTCTGCTCAGGGTTACACAGGGGGTCACAAACAGTGAGTGGTAAATTCTGTCTCTGGTATCCATGTCTATGTGAATTGATTAATCTCTGACAAAAGAATACTCTACCTACTGTGTAAAAAAGATAGAATATTGTAACCCCCAGCAAGAAACTAGCAGTTGCCCTTACTTCAAATGGAAAAAGTTATTTTGGAAAATTATGTTCTAAGTCAAAGTCATCAGGTTAACCACACACTTGTCACAAGAGTGACAAGAATTGTAAAAGTCACAGCCTAAATGTAAACCAGAAAAAAGGATGTCAGAGAATAGACCATACATAGAAATGTATGTAAATAATCCTGTACCTACACTTCTGTAGGCCACTTTTTCAAAGCAAAGCCTAATCTTTTATGGCTGATTTATATCTACATACGATGAGGAAGTCGCCTCTCATTCCTAGCATAGTGCCTTGCACATAGTAGGTGGACATGAATGCTAATGTTAGAAACTGAACAGCATAATACAAGGCATAAGTATTTGCTCTTCCTCTAACACAGGTATCTTCTTACTCTCTATTGACTTTTGGAATTTTTGATATTCTATCTTGATCTTCATAAGTATGCAGTAAAAGTTATTTCTTTATCCAAACTCCTTTCAGTTATTCAGGAGAGATGTATTAAGTGTTGGCTTTGTACGAGGCACTGATCTAGGGACCGAGGATTACAATGAACAAGAGAGAACAAGAGCTTGTGTTCCAGTAGGGTAAACAGACAATAAACAATCAAAACAATAGTCAGGTAGTGATGATGAGTGTGTAAAAAGTAAATTGAAACAATAATTACAAGAGTGTTATGAGTTTTCTAATTGCAGGTCTTATATCTAAGTTTTTAATCCATTTTGAGGTTTTTTTGTATGTGGTATAAAAAAATGCTCTAGTTGTATTCTTTTACACCTAGCTGTCCAATTTTTTCTACACCATTTATTGAAGAGACTGTATCTTCCTCATCATATTCTCCAGAATTCTTTGTCTGTTTAGGGTCTTTTGTGGTTCCTTACCTACCTGTACACACAGCTGTTTGTTTTAAGCTGATGGTCACTTAAGTTTGAACACATTCTCAAAGCTCAACATTTTTTACCACCCCCCACATTTTATGTTTTTGACATCATCTTTATCTTCTGTGTATCCCTAAACTGTTTACTGTAGTTATAGCTGATTCCATGTCTTTTGGCTTTTAATCTTCATACTAGCTTTTCAAGGGATTGATCCACTGCTGTTACTATATATTTGCCTTTATCAGTGAAATTTTTTCTTTCATACATTTTCTCATTTCTAGTTATGGCCTTTTCTTTTTTCACTTAAAGAAGACATTTTAACATTTCTTGTAAGGCCAGTTTAGAGGTGATGAACTCTTTTAGTTTTTGCTTGTCTGGAAAACTTTCTCTCTTCTTCAATTCTGAATGATAACCTTGCTGGGTAGAGTATCCTTGGTTGTAGGGTTTATCCTTTCAGCACTTTAAATATATCATACCACCTCCTTCTGGCTAAAAAGTTTCTGCTGAAGAAGTAACTGATAGCCTTCTGTGGGTTTCCTTATATATGACTCATGGTTTTTTTCTTGCTGCCTTTAAAATTATTTTTTTATCTTTAACTTTTGCCATTTTAATTATACATCTTGGTGTGGATCTCTTTCATTCATTTTGTTTGGAATTCTCTGTGCTTTTGGGGCCTGTTTATCTGTTTCCTTCCCTGGGTTAGGGAAGTTTTCAGCCATTATTTCATCAAATAAGTTTTCTGCCCCTTTCTTTCTCTCTTCTCCTTCTGGAACCCCTCTAATGCAAATGTTAGTGTTCTTGATGTTTAAGGGACACAGAGGTCCCTTAAACTATTTTCATTTTTAAAAATTCTTTTTACTTTTTACTATTCTGATTGATTTCCACTATTCTGTCTTCCAGGTCACTTATGCATTCTTCTGTATCATATACTTGCCTGTTGATTCCTTGTATATTTTTCATTTCAGTTACTGTATTCTTCAGCTCTGATTGGTTCTTTTTTTATATTTTCTAATTCTTTGTTGACAGTCTCACTGTGTTCCTACATCCTTATCCTGTTGTACTTCTTGCTTCTTATGCTGCTATTGAAACATCTGATGTTAATGCTAAAAGTCATACTGTAGACTTTCGGAATTTTCTCTTTGTCCTGAATATCCCGAATTTCCCTATAATTTGTGTAGGTGTGGGTTTTCCATAACATTCTCCTTTGAAACTCCATGAGTCCTTCCATCTGAAGTCTTTTATTTGTTCATTCATCCACCCTTTCATTTATTGGAAATTTAACACTATTATTTCTCTTAAGGAATCATCCATGGAGTTCTCCTTCTCTTTCTTTTGGGGATTCTTATTATCTGCATGCTGCCACTTCTACTTCTGTTCTCCATTATCTCTTGGCTTTCTCTTTTTCTATTTCTTTGCACTTCCCTTCTTCCTTTAGGGAGATGACCTCAATCTGGTCTTCCAATGCACTCATATGCTCCTTAACTGTGTGTGTCTCTTCTGCTATCTTATCCTGTCTTTCTTGTTCCTTATTTCAACTACTGCATACTTGTAATATGTCCTTTCATTCCTTTTTCTTTCTTTGTTTTCATGTGGCTAACATTATCCCTTATCTTTTTTTAATTCTATTTTTGCTAATTTAAAATTTTGGGTCCATTCTAATGTTTCTGCTTCTGATGGAATCTATAATCTACTCTTTTTTTTTTGTCTTTTGAAATTACTGTACTTCTCAAAATATCTTATTTGGCAGATGCATTCATTTTTCTCTGGAAATGTGTATGAGGATAGGACTAGGGAGATCCACTAGCCCTGAGGGGCTTTCTGGGATGCTGGACTAAAACCAGGAGAGTTGCAGGTAAGCAAGGATGGTTCACCACCTTACTAGACTCCACTGAGTCATGTCTAGTTGCTCAAGGAGTGAGAGTAAATGAGCTCTAGAGTGAAGTGTCCCAAACCCAAGAAACTCACAGGCAATCACTCC